AGAAATGACCTGTAGCCAGAGAGGTAGGGTGAATTTGCAAAGTCCCCCTGTCAGTCTCTGCTAACCCCAGCCAGTATGGCCATGGCCATAGCTGTCCCTTTTCAGGCAAAATGTCTCCTTTCTCTTGGTACTTCCTTACTGAACATAATGGGGAAGATGTCAAGGCATTTAAGCCACCTGGTTTTACTGAATGAAGTGAAAACATCAAAGCAGACATTTATATTGGGAGTAATTTAATATTTATGCTGTTTAGTTTATAGCCCGGCTTACAAATAATTACAGATCCTCTATGTTTATGATGCTTTGGAAGTAAGACAGTCAACTCAACTCTACGGCCATACCACCCTGAACGTGCCCGATCTCTTCTGATCTCGGAAGCTAAGCAGGGTTGGGCCTGGTTAGTACTTGGATGGGAGACAATCAACTCAAAAAGTGGTTGTTGCCATAGACGCTGTCCTGTAATTTAAGTCCTTGGAATTGACTTCTCTGAATTTCTAGTTAATTCAAGGTTGCTAGTTAATTCAACATGTAGAACGGTCACTTCAATAATTTCATAGACTATCATGAACTGCAAGCTATTTTTATAAGCTTAAAAATAATATTAGGGTGGTTTTCTAGTACTATCTTTTTGAAAATGACAAATACTTTAGGAAAAATATATTTTAAAAAAGTTCTCCCAAATAAGCAGTCTCTAGAAAAGTTCCCAGGAGAGGGCCGGGGATGTAGCTCAGCAGCGCAGCACCTTCCTGGCAAGCTCAAGGCCCTGAGTTTGATTCTCTGTACCAAAAAAAAAAAGGCTCCCAGGAGAGTGTATAATACATGCTCAGTAAATTTTATTATTTTGTAAATAGTGTTAATTGCAAACTTTATCTCTCCTAAACCCTCCTCAGCAAAAATTACTATTGCTTCCGCAAAAACATATAAACTAAGCAGACATAGGAAATTGATATCCAGATAACAGCAAAAATGAGGCATTTACAGCCTGGCTTTATTTGCTTTCTATATGTGATTTAGTCCAGTGTAAGATGAACAAATCAAGTTTTATGAGATGCTCATTCTACAAAATAAGATGATGTGCAGAATATGAGATGGTAAAAGCACATTGGTCCACATGGTTGACACACAATACAAACTCTAGAATGCAGGCAGAAATCAGAAAACAAGCACAAAACCTCCCCTCCCCTAAACTGTATGTGTTTTTTTAAAAGTAAGACCATCAAACTGTTGATACTTATTATAAGTTCATGTCTAGTTGTAGCAAAGAAAGGAAGCCATCACAGTCCTGTTGATATTTATTGAAAGTTTGTGTCTGGTTAAATCACTTACCTAGTATCTCCATGGAGGGAGAAAGCGGAAGTTGGGGACGGAAGGACTCAGCCGGGCACCAGGAGTGAGTGTAGACTTCCTGACTGGGGCCGCAAACCAGCAGAGCTTCCTGTGTAGATGCGGGGTCCCAGGGTGTGTGTGTGACAGCACAGTGTAGCAGGTGGTTCAAAGAGGTCGTGTTCAATTACACTCCGGGTGCCATTTAAAAATCTTTTAAATTAAAGCATTGCAGTTCATTGTAGAGTGCTTTTAATTCAATAAAAACATTTTATCTGGACACTGGTGTGTTTTAAGTAACCTACCTTAGAAAAGACTGGAGCCAGAGGATCCCCAGGTTCCCTAACGAAGCCTTCTTACGCTTGAATCAGGAAAGTTGATTTATTAGTTTGTAGAAAGTCCAAAATAATAACAGTTTCAGGTATAATTTAGTTAATGAATGCCCACTCTGTGCTTGAGTTAGAGTTTATATGTTTACCCATTTTTTTTCTTCAAAACAACCCTATAGGGCAGGCATTATTTTATACCCACCTCACTGACGAAGAGACTGAGGGTTAGAGTTCCCAAAACAAATCAGTGAACACGTGGGATAGCTGGCATGCAGGCTCACACACCTTTGGATCCCATATAGGAAAATCCAACTCCCGCAGCAATATTAACCTAGCTTGAAAAGAATTCAAACCACGTTTATTTCCAGTTAATGCACCTCTTTTTGTGTGTCCCTCTTTTCCCGTCCCTTTGTTTTCCTGTCTTCTGCTTCTCTTCCTTTTCTCCTTTCCTTCTTTGTTGTGTTTCAACTTGTACATGAGTCTCTTACAATCCAGGCTGCCTGGATCAAAGCAAGGTTTTGAAACACTGCTCCTGCCGGAGCCTTTGCTGGGGATGCTTAGCAAGGGAACAACGCTGCGCCCACCCCTGAACGTCCTGCGCCTGCACTTTGATCCCAGGAGACTGTGTGTGGGAGGCGCTCTTCTGTGCTCCCAGAAAGGCTTTTTGCATGCTCACAGCTCACTCAGCAACAAAAGTGCTCAGCAAAAGCACACATCTGTCCCTATGCAGCCACAATGACCGTGCACAGAGCATGAAAGCAGTGACTCTGACCTCCCCGCAGAGACTGCACACAGGTCCAAAGAAGTTCTTCTAGAATAGGAGTCTATATTGTTTTCTTAATTATAAGAGTAATGGATGCTTTTTGCAAAAATTAAATTGTTACAGAATTATAAAAAAATTAAAAATAATTCATAATTCCACTAACGATCAAGAAGTCATCTCTGTTAACAATTTTAAAGAAATACTAATTTGTGAATTAATTTTTCAGTTCTCTCTCTCTCTCTCTCTCTCTCGTCTGTGCCTTTGGCGTGGAACATTGTGTAGCTGGAGCACTTCGGATTGAAAGGGTGGTGACCTTATATGTTTTTTCTCCTTGAATCTTTGTGAGGCTTGTTCAAGATGTGCCTTTGAAAGACAGGCATAGTAACTGGGAGGAGGGAGAAGGCACCCCTCATCCACAATGTGAATGAGTTAATTAGTGAGATATCTAGGCTGAAAGGATTACTCCGTATCCTTTATTGAGTAGTTCACGAGTACAGGCAGTACTATCCTTTGTGTTGGTTTTAATTTAATTTTTCCCTAATAAGGACTGCTTTGTTGATTTTGAATGTAAATATGAATGGGGAAATTAAAATACATCAATTTAGAAAAATGGAAATTTTGAGCTGTCTGGAACTTGCATCCTGGCATCTAGGGTGAAAATGTGGAGGCTTTAAGAGACTGCATGCAAGTCCTGCTTTCTGTGCCACACCGAGCCTGTATTTGTGGGTTTGCTGGTGCTCTTCTTGCAGCTCTTAGACTTATGTCCGTTTCTGTTTATGTTGTGGGCATGATAAAGCACAGATAACCAGTGTTAGCAGTGTGCAATCTGTAGACATCATCTTAGGTATATGTAATTGTGTGTGCACAAGTACTTGGCAGGCATTCTAGCACAGTGGTTATAAAGCCTGGTTATAAACTCTGACTCTAGAATTGAACAGTATAGGTTTGAGTCCTGGTTCAAACATTACCTGTGTCACCTTGCTTAAGGTAAATCACCTCTCCAAGCTCCATCACCCATCAATGCAGTGGGAACAGTGAATGTTTCCCTTGTTAAGAAGGAGTGTAACTGATTGAGATCATGTGTATAAAAAATCTGAACAAGTAGTTAACACCCACTAATGTTAGAACATTTTCTTCATAATTGAGAGTTTGTTTGAGTTCTAGGGTTTGAAGGATTGACAACCAGGACCTCATGTGCTAGGCAAGTTCTCTATCACTGAGCTACATCCCTAGTCTCCATAACTGAGATTTCATTTGTTGTAATGAGAATCCATACACAGCTATTTCAATTTGTACACAGTTTTTAAAGTACATACTGAGAACCTAAAAGTTATTTTTTTAGATTCTTTTTTAAACTGTTATTCCACTGATTTTCCAGCTTTCAAATTGGGAGGCAAATTTTCCTTAAGAAATTATCAAGGACCAATATCTTCAAATAGTTGAGAAGCATTGACATGAATCCCACCAATTCACAATTTAATACCATATATAGTACATCCTCTGGTTTTCAGTCTTTCACAGCCCACTGGCACAAGTATTAGGAAAATTGGATTACCATACTAAGGATGTTAGAGTGTACACAATCTGAACCGGGCACCTACAACAAAGTGGCTTTCTTTCTTTTTTTTTTTTTTTTGGTATCGGGGATCGAACTTGGGTCCTTTCTCTTGAGAGGCAGGCAGCAGAACCACTGAGCTAAATCCCCGGCCCACGACGTGGCTTTCTTAAGGAAACAATTCCCCTAAAAAGAACATGGGAATAGGATTATTAATCTGTTTGTAATCAGTGGGATCATACTTCTGTTATAACTTATTTTTTAAGCCATCGTAAACATGTGACATCACTTTTAGGACTACATCATAATCATGTTATATGATGTGCTGTAAGTTTTTCTATCTTGAACCCAAGGAGATGATCATCTTCGGGTCAAAGACCATTTCTTTTGCCTGTCCTCGAAAAGTGTGCTATGTTTCCATGTTCACATCTGGAGATGCTTGAGACCATTAGCCCCAGAGAGTTTTGTCTAAACAAGAATTTAGCATTCCTTCAACAAATACATAGAAATCTGTCTACTTTCAGAAGATACTGAGTTCCTCAACATTTCAAGGAGCCCTCTCTGCTCTCAGTAAGTTTAGAAAGTCTCTAATACAGCTATCCTTCTTTTCCACAATACTCCCCTTGCTACCCCTGTGCTTATTTTCTGCCTTGATCAGTGAATGAGTGCCTGAATGTGTGCTGGCTTCAGCTTCTGAACATTCACATGACTGCTTTAATTAGAAAAGAAGAAAGTGCCATAATTCTGCCGTAAGCTAACAATAATGCTGCAGTGGGAGTCCAGGAAGCCTTTTCTTATTCACATGCTCATGGCTTCTTGAATAAAGTAGATGACTAAGTCTACTTACTGCAGTAAGAGAGATTATTAGCAGTAGAAGACACATTTGAACTTGCTGAAAAGGCTGCCTTTGTGTGGAAGAAGGCTGACACTCGGTCATTATTAGGCCAGGTCTTCGTCTTATCCTAGCAGTCTTTGCTTTTTCACGCTTGTGAAGTCTGAATAGCTTTCTGTCACCCATTAATCCCTGCAGGAATGTGGCTTCGGCTATGGGGAGGATGCACAGTGTGTGACATGCCGGCCGCACCGGTTCAAGGAGGACTGGGGCTTCCAGAAGTGCAAGGCATGCCTGGACTGTGCTCTGCTGAACCGCTTCCAGAAGGCCAACTGCTCGGTCACCAGCGATGCCGTCTGTGGGGACTGCTTGCCGGGGTGAGTCAGTGATTCCTTCCTCTCCCATTTTCAGCGACATTTCTCTTGTCCCCTTCCAAACTTGAATGTGCACTGATACTAACCCAGAGACTTGCGGAGCACTTGTGACTTCTCATCTCAGCAGGCAACCCTGGATTCTCTGTGCACACCCTATGCCATGCATCGTAATGGGGGCTGGTTATACATTTCCCAAAATCACGCTATGAAAATTCTAACAAAGGAGCAGCTCCAGGAGAATCAAGAGTCTCTGCAAACCAGTGGAGCAAAAACCTCGGGTAGAGGGAGAAAGGAACAGACATGCAACTGTTGAAAGAGGAGACAGACTGACCAGTGGTCCCATGAAGATGTCTGTCCTCATTAGCAGTCACCACCACTCACCCATTTCAGCAGATACTTGCCAAGCAGCTATAAAGCACTGCTCTAGATTCTTGGGAAAGCTCACAGGATAAAGTGGCAGAGATCCCATGTGGAGCTCATATCCTAACAGGCTTTTAAAAAAAAGAACCTGCTAGAAAATAATGAAGAAGTAAAGTGTGCAGAAAGATAGATGAAGATTTCTATGGAAAAACACACCCGAAAGCAGATACTGGTGATTAGGCATGCCCACAGTTATAATGTTAAACTGGAGTTCAGGGCAGGCTGGACTGCAAATGTGAGAGCTAATCAAAGATACCAAGTAGTTGAGGCAATTAGCCAACCAGGTATTTGGGAGGAAAACAGTGCAGATGGCGAGCACCTAAGGAGAGCCCCCAAGGTGGCCATGAACCTGGTATGTTAGGAACCGGCAGGGAGAGCTGGGTACAGTGATAGCCTAATAGATTGCGTATGGCCTCCTGCAGGGACACAACACCTAAGTAGCTGCAAAAAGAAGGCATCTAACATTTAAAAAATGCAACAAGAGGGAAAAATAGCTATGTAAAACACTATCAAAATTCAAATTTGCACTTCAGAGGACATCATCAAGGAAGTGAAATGGCAACAGAGAAAGGAAGAAAATATTGGTAAATCATATATCTGATAAGGACTATCTTGCCTAGAATATAAGAAAAACCCTTACAACTCAATAATAAAAAAGATAAATAATCCAATTAAGATAAAAAGTAAGGGTTTAAATAGACATCCCTCCAAAAAATATGAACAACTGGCCAAAACACATTAAAAAATGTTCAACACCATTACCCATCGAAGAAATGCAAATCAAAACCAAAGTGAGATACCACCTCACACCCTTTAGCTCTGTAGCCAGAAAGACAGACAGTAATGTGTTGGTGAGAATGTGGAAAATGGGAACCTTCATACACTATGGGTGAGAAAACCATATAAAATGTCATGGCCACATTGGAAAACACTCTGACATCTTCTCAAAAAGCTAAATGTATAATTACCATGTGGCCCAGCAGTTCTACTCCTAGATATATTATCAATAGAACTGAAAATCTATCTCCATACCAGAGTTTGTGTACGACTAATATTCATAGCAACATCATACACACAGCCAAAAAGCTGAAATAACTCTGCCTTGGTTGGAATGTGTCCACTCCAAAATTCAGCCATTACCAACATGATGGTTAAAGGTAATGATTCAAGAAGTCTTTAGAGCTGGGCGAAGTGGCTCATGCCTGTAATCCAAGCACTCAAGGAGGCTGAGGAAGGAGGACTGAAAGATCAAGCCCATCCTGGGTAACTTAGTGAGATCCTGTGACAACATAAAAAAATAAAATAAAGGGCTAGGGATGTTGCTCAGTGTGCAGCCCTAGGGTTCAATCCCTAGTACTACCGAAAAAAAAAAAAGTAATGAGGTAAACAAGTATGCATCCCCTCATGAGTGGGATTTATGAGGGATTGACAGAGGGTGTTTCCCTTTTTGGCTTCTGGCTTGTGTCATCTGCTACTTCTCCCCTCTTGAAGATGCAGCGAGAAGGCCTCACCAGATCCCAAAGGCTGGCACTGTCACTTGGGACTTTCTGACTCCAGAGCTGTGAGCGGTTTCTCTTCTATAGATGCCCCAGTCCATAGCATTCTCTTACAGTAGCACAAAACAGACTAAGACAAACCCAAATGTCCATCAGCTGATGAATGAACCAAGTGGAGTATATTCAAGAGATGGAACATCATTCAGCAATAAAAAGGAAGAAAAGCCAGACACATGTTACCACATGGGTGAACCTAAACAGCATCATGCTAAATGCAGGAAGCCGGTCACAAAGACTGCATGGTATATCATTCCATCTGTGTGCAGTGTCCAGATTGAGCAAATCTTTGGAGAAAGAAAGCAAGTTAGGGTTGCCTGGGGCTTGGGGTTGGGTAGGGATGGGAAAAACAGTGCGACTAGGAAAAGTTCCAAGGTTTCTTTTTGAGGTGCTGAAAAATGTTCTAAAACTGGTTGTGGTTATATGTATTCAAGTTTGTGAATACAGGAAGAACTATTGATGTGTATACTGTTAGTGAGTGAATTGTATGGAGTATGAATGAAATCTCAATTGAGTCTGTCATGAAAAAAAGTAATGGCCCATACTCTCATACCAATAAGCTGTCTACAGATAGCATTGCCCAAAGTTCTGATCTTGTGAAATCTAATCAAGAAACGTGACCAGAACATCTGATGCGTCTCCGTTGTTCAGGTTCTACAGTTCTCTGATAAAAGCATGTCTGTGCCTGTCTGCTCTTCGTCTGGGGAATGGGAAGAGAGATTGTCCCCAGGGCACACACCAGCTGAGAGGTAGGCCGTGCCAAGACCCAAGAACTTGGTTTATCAGAGCAACCTCATGGGTTTGACAAGAGAGCCCACAGGTGACTGCTGGTTTGCCCCAGTCCTTGTCTGCTGAGCCAAGCTTTAGTTTCTACAGAGCTAGTTCATTCTTAAAGTAAATACTGAGATGCAGGAAAGCTGTAAATAAAAAGACGTTTGAATGATGTTTCACAGTTTATATGATTAGTTTGAAATTACATCCTTTGTAAGCTGCTTTAACATATGAGACAGGTTATAATTACATAGTAAAATGTACCTAGGTCTTTTCAGAGCATTTAAAAAATACTCTTCCAGTTTGACCATTTCTGTAAAGAAAGCAAAACATCAAAACCCATTTTGCAGACAGGAAAACTGAAGCAGAAAGTAAGCAAAATGCCTGTTGCTTCCAGGAAAATGATGTCAAGGTCAGACATGGGGATGGGAGGCAGTGTTGTCCCCAGAACCATCCCTGCTCCCGCAGCCTCAGCCTTTGTCCTGCTCCTGCCCGGGGGCCCAGCCCTGCAGGACACCAGCTGCTTCCCCTGTAGGCAGCAGGTGTGGAAATTGTCCGCAAGGCCCATGGTCTGAGGGTTGAGAGAAGGTCAGTCCTCTGGTTCCCAGAAACATTCAAGGACTTCAGGCCAGGAACTTACCTTCTCTGACACCCCTTCTGCTCACCAATAAAACGGTCTTCTGATAATCACAACAAGCTGCAGACTTGTTAGGATTCACAGTATAAAGCATCTGAGGTACCTAGCAGAGTACCTGGTCCAGAGTAAGCACTGAGTTGATATTGTACATGACTGCCCACTCATGGCGGTGGGGCCATTCAAAGCTCTGTGTGACCTCATAGTGTGGCAGGTGGACCCCATCCCCATGCCTTCTCTGCTAAGGGAACAGAGCATAGCCTGACCCTGCCAGCTCTTCACTGCTTCCAGCAGCTGAGGTAGCACTTGAACACTTGCTATATGCTAAGCATTTCCTGCAGATGAGTTTACCCAATTATCAGAACCACTGTGTAAAGTATGAGTGACTGTCATCCCTCCTTACAATGGAGAAAATTGATCCTTAGAATAGATTAATGCCTTGTGCAGGTTCCCCCAGCTTGAAGTCCCTGAAACAGGGAGCTTCCACACACTTCTGATTCCACCTGGAGATTTCACCAGGGTTCTGTGCTCCTCACTCACTCCACCCTCCTGCTGTCACCCCTATCAGGGAAAGGTCTGGGCTCATACCCTAAGGATTCATCTGGTTTGCATTTGTTCAATTCCCAATAAAGTGCCATTGCTGGGGGTTGCTGAGGAGGATGAACGAGAGCCACTATGAAGCCAAGAGTATCAGAGAACAAAACCCAGTCATCCTTTATCTAACATATCCACTGCAGCACATCCACCATGCCTTGACCGTAAGACCCAGGACAGAGTATCTGCATCCAACACTGTGTTAAGTGAGGTCATTATAAACCAGAGCTGGACTGTGGTATGGCATCTCCTGGTAGAAATGCTTTCATTGAGGAATTAATGGTCCACAGTAGGGTTTCTTGAAATAGCAGTGTTCAAACAGTATTCAGTAGGCTAAGCAGTGTTACTTGGATTCAGTTCAGTTCAAAAATTCTCTTTATATACGTTGTCCTGGAAAATTTTGTGTCTATATGTATTTTTGTGCTGTCTTTCATCAAATAATGATTAAGAAACATCAACTGTGGTTTTCTTTTGTCTTTTTGCACTGTCTGAAAGCCAGGAGTAAAATTTGACATTAAACTTTAGAAACCAGTTTAGCCAGACATTTTGTATAATTTCCCTGTCCCCTTTTATTTTATTTCTTTTTTAAAATTTGTGACTTATCACAGTTCGACAGGAAATGGAGTTGCAAATGTTTCTATGTCCCCAAACCATGGCACTCTAAACAAAGCAAAGAGAAAGTAAGGAGTCAGGGCTGGAGCTCAGTGGTAAGACTGTATGTGTTTAGCTTTCAAGGGGCCCTGGGTTTAATCCCCAGCATCAAAAAACAAGAGAAGTGGAAGAAAGGAGAAGAAGGAGGAAAAAGAAGAGAGAAGGGATGGGAAGGAAAAGCAAGGGGAAGGGAGAGAGGGAGGGAGGGAGGAAGGAGAGGGAGAAGATAAAGGAAGGGAGGGAAATAGAATAATTGTTCAAAATCTACAGACTGATTCTAAGTCGTATTTTAAAGTTCGAATGTCTGAATACTCATCTTCACGTTAGAGTCTAATTATATGTGGGCTTTCAAAAATTAAAAATATTTTGTATCATAAGCACTTAGTATTTTAGCAATTATCCTGTGCTTTATAATTCTGACTCTTAATTTCACTTTGTACTGATTTAAAAAGTAAGTCAATTGACAGTTTTGAAGATTCTATAGCAATTTTAAAAAGTCTTAGATTCTACCCGTAAGCCACTGGAAGGCAGCCCATCCTCACCGTGTCACGGACTGTGTGTGTAACCGCTGTAGGGCCTCTGATGCTCTCTGAGTGTCACCCTGGGCAACCCTGTCCTTGTGCCCAGGAGCTGTGTGGAACCCTGGGAATTGTTGTGCTCACTCAGCCTCCTTTCTACTAAGTATCTAATGGCCGTTCAAACTATGACCTGACTTGCATGTCTTCTAGACTCGTTTGTGTGAGGGTCCTCAAACTCACCTTATATTTTAATAAACAGTTTTTGGCAAATTGATTGTTTATGATGGAAAGTGCAGCCCTTATTTCACATCAAGGAAAATTCACTATTTTAAAATGTTAAATGAAACCTATATTTGATTTCCAACACCTCTCATTTACCTAACATTTAAAACAACTTTATAGGATGTATTTCTATATCTTCAATATTTGCTTTTGTAAAAGGTCATTATATTTTTCACTATTTGACATAAAATGAGTTTTTATGTATAAAAAATAACTCTGGACTTTACCAATATTTTATCAATTATAATCTGGTAAGTTTTCTGGCTGAAAGGATAAAAAATAATCATCTGCTAATGTTACAAGGCTTACCGAGACATATTGTTCTGTTATTTTTACTTTAAAGTTTCATATGCATTTTTCTATTGTGGTTAAAAAATACATAAAATCGAGCCGCTTAACCATTTTTAAGCATGTACTTCAGTAGTGTTAAATACATTTACATTATCGTGCAACAGACCTCCAAACTTTTTCAACTTCCCAAACTGCAGCTTGAACCACTTCCTCCCTTTTTCCTTCTGGCCAGCCCCTGGCTCTTTCTGTGAATTGGACACTCTAAATACCTCAGACAAATGAAACTATACAGTATCTGTCCATTTGTGACTGGCTTATTCCAGTCACCTCAAGGTTCATCTATGTTGTAGCATGTGATAGGATTAACTTCCTTTTTAAAGTTTAATAATATTCCTTGGTATCTACCTACTGAATTTTGTTTAACCACTTATTTATCAATGGACATTTAGATTTCTTTCCTCTCTTGGCTGTTGTGAATAGTGCTGTAATGAACAGGGGTCTACAAATATCTCTCCAAGATTCTGCTTTGGATTTTTTCGATGTATACCCAGAAGTGGGATTGCTGAATTATGTGATAGTTTACTTTTCATATTTGGAGGAAATGCCATGTTTTCCATAGTAGCTCCACCATTTTACAGTTCCAGCAACAGTGTACAGAATTCCAGTCCCTGCACCCTCTCCAACATTTGTTTCCCTAATTCTTACTGTTATTTTGTTTTGCTTTCTGATAGTAGCTACCCTAATCCATGTGAAGTGATGTATCTCAGTGTAGTTTTAATTTGCAGTTCCCTGATGATTAGTTATGTTGCATCTTTTCATACACTTATTGGCCATGTGGATATCATCTTTGCTGAAATGTCCATTTAAGTCCTTTGCCCATTTTTAACCAAGCTATTTGATTTTTCTTGAGTTATAGCTCTTCATAGATTTGGGGTTTTAGCCCTTTATCAGATACATGATTTGCAAATATTTTTTCCCATTTCATAGTTTGTCTTTTCACTTTGTCGAATTGTCCTCTGATGCACAAACGTTTTAGAATCTAATATAATCTCGTATTAAATTTCTAGTATTAGACATTGGGATTGTGTCTAATTGGCTGTATTTTCTGTTGTAAACAATGCTGTGATTGTATTCATACACATACAATTTTACCCAGGTGATTATTTCTTTAGGATAAATTTCTAAAAATGAAAGTAGTAGATAAAGAGTATAAAGTATTTTATTGCACTCTGATGACATATTGTGAAATTGCCTTCTTAAAGTTGGCCTTTTATATTTTTGCCTATGCTTATAGCAACCCTTTTCCAGTTCTCTAAGTAAAATGATATATTTTCTCTTCAACTTGCATTTATTTGATTAGCAATGAAGCTAAGCATTTTGATATTGTTTTTAAGATTTTTAATTCTGTCATCTATTTTAGTTTAATTATGAAATTTTATAGTTACAAAATGTTCTTTTTGGGGGATTGAATGTTCTTTGCCTGTTTTCAATTGTAGCATTCACTTTTGCTGTAATGATTTTTGTTTTTCCTTACAAACTTAAGTTATACACAATACTATAACCAGAATAATTTTTTCTCAAATTTTGGTAGTCCATTAACTATGTTAATAATGCTTTATTTTTGCTCTTGAGATATCTTTATGAAAAAAAATTTTTGTCAAAGCTGTCAGTCTCTTCTACTCTGGCTCCTGCGTTTCTTGTTATGCCTAGAAAGAAAATCTAATGTCAAGATTGTGTGAGTCTCTACACTTTTCCACTGCTTTTATGGTTTGCTTGGCTTTTTGGTCCCAAATTTCAAACATAAAAACCTTGCAGTTTATCTATAAGGTGCTTTGTAGTTTAAATTACAACAGAATCACCCAAGACATAGGATTTCATATTCTGTCTCAAGCATCCCACCCCAGTATAGAGAAAGAGTGGACTGAGAAGGCTCTGTTGTTACGTGTGGTGAAATTGATATTTCTGAAGTGTTCTCTGCCTTCCAGAAAGGCTCTCCTAGGCAGTGCCTATCTAAGACACTGTTGTACTTAAACCTTTGGGTACTTTTATTTAAATGTAGAATTATAATTGAGACTGCTGGTAATTTATGATGAAGATCTTATTTGCTATAACTGTTAAGCTTGGATAGCAGAGCTAACCAGGCTCATTTTCTTTCCTCTTCTAGGTTTTACAGGAAGACTAAACTTGTCGGTTTTCAAGACATGGAGTGTGTGCCCTGTGGAGACCCTCCTCCTCCCTATGAACCCCACTGTGAGTAAATGCACTGCAGAGCAGAAGGGGGCAACAGGCCTTTACGTTTTTCTTTGAAACCTTTCTTCTGTTGGCAAGTGGAGCAAAATCAGCCTCTGCTGTGGAGCTCATGGTGTACACTCTTTATCAAGCCCTCACGGGATGGAAAGCCCTTTGTCATGTACTTCAGTCAGCCAACTACCCACTGGTTTGAGACTCCCAGTGAAACACAAACCCTTTGCTGCTGCTGTCGGCCATTCAGTCCTTACCGTCCATTCAAGGTACATTATGTGGGAACTCCAGTCAACTAGGTGGTCCAGATCCTGATGTATATGGCTCTGTGCATGTACATGTATTCTCAGCTTCCTTCCACAGTCCTCAGACTGGATCGTAGGGTGGAGTCTACCTTCCCAAAGAAGTTTCTCTGCATGAATCTCCTACCTTCATTAACGTATCATAGATGGAATCCTAGTTCCCATCATTTGTGCCTTCACTTTTCTCCTTGAACAAATAAAAGGGAAGAGAGGACTCATTGTGGGCTGTGCATACAATGGTAGATGTGTTAACACTAGTTAATCCTCTTGATCATGTATTTTCCTTAGATATAAAAGGTATTTGTTACAGATTATCTACCTGCATGGATTTTGAACAGGAAGAAGAGTGGTTGCTCACTCTTCTTAAGCCTAAGTAGAAACATGGCCAATAAAAACCCATAGAAGGTGGGAGGGGAAGCAGTCAGCAAGTGGGCTCCCCCGAGGGCCCAGGGCTTTGGGAAGCTGAGCTTCACACCACAGGGAGATGGGTGGGTCCAGATGGCAGTGGGGGACCGTGTTCTATCCCATGCATAGGATGATCCAGCCTTTCCTATGAGCATTGTTTTGACATAACTCCCAATACATGGGCTCTGTCCTCTTGCTTTATTCTTTAACAAAGGTTCCCTCCAAACAAATTAACAGTTATTGCATCATTTCATAAGGTCACGTAGTACTACTTCTCTTTCTAAGGATGCCATGGAATTTTACAGTCCATATTATTATGTCCTTTACCAAAATGCATTATTTTCTATTCTTCATTTGAAATGATAGAAAAGCAAAAAGAATTGGAAGGCTTTTTCTAACTTTTATGGAAAATATATGTTTATCCTTATTTTCATACTATGTAAGCATGCACCAAATGATTTATTGCAGTTGACAAATGAAGTATTGAATGCCTGTTATGTATGTCTCAAAATACCTGCTTTACTTATTAGTTTGACTTGCTTTTCTCAATGATTCTATCATCAGCCCAGATTTGTCAATGAGAACACCCGTCCAGAGAATTTAATAACACTCCATTGCTGGCTGGAAAATAGCAAAGACAGTACTCAAATATAAGCCTGCCTAATGCCCAATGTTGTGTTCTTCTACCACATTCTCCCATCTCGCTACAAATAACCAAACTATCTGATCTGGGCTGCAGGTTGATTTTCTCTTTGCTTGCTTGCTTTATTGTTCATAGTTTACCTAAACTCCGAAAATCTACCAGAAAAGAAAGATCCTCTTTATGCAGCTGCACACCCCATTAAAGGATGTCTCTTGCCAATTAAAATGCAGTGACCTTGTCTTGCCTGGGGGTCAGCTCAGTCATTGTTTGGAAAGAAAGTTAAAATTATTGCAATTCATTCCAAACCACCATACAAAGACTTAGTAAAGAAATCAATATTGCCCAGTTTACAGTAGTAAAGTATGAAGGGGTTTTCCCCCCTTTAATTTATTGAGTTTCAATTTAATATACTCTAGTCAAAAGTTTGAGGCTTTGGAAGGTTTTGCCTTCAGGGTCTGGTTAAGCCTAGACATCACAAATTTGCCTTTGAATATAGGTCTCCCATGCAACCTTCCATGTTTTGTGAAAGTCCTTAGTTAAAATTTTGAAATGAAAATTAATTTATTTAATATACATATATGTATATGCACATACACATACACACATGTGTGAAACTTTTTAAGAAGCAAAGGAAAATGAATTGTCAAGTAAAAAAATTGCAGCCTGCATAGCTAATAGCATTCAAAATCATAAAACAAGAAGTCTGGTGGTCTCCAGTGAATGTTATTCCTTATCTCTGTTAAAGAAAGTTTGCTGCCTTTGGCTCCATTCTTGGGAAGAATTCCAGAACCCAACGAATCTCCTCAAAGGAGATCTTGAAGTCTTTGGGGGAAATTATGCAAGACTCCTTCTGTTTTCATTTCTCCTACTTTGGGCTTTTCCATTCATCCACAAAGAGCTGCTTCTTCGTGATTTCCCCCTGAGGAGTTCCTGTACCACTGAGAATCCTGGCTATTTGAAAGAGGTGCCTCTCATGTGTTTGAGGCTTGTGTTTGAAGGATTTTCCGGGTAGTGGGAGCGGGTAGGACTTCCCAGAATGCAGCAGTAGCCTCCTGGATTCCTCCTGAGGGCCAGGGCAGCTCTGCAGCAGGGGCCCTTCGAACCTGGGCTCTGCACTCAGCACCATCATTTATCTGCCCCTCATCTTCCCCACAGGCCACTCCACTCTGAACTTGCCTGTTCACCTCCTTCCAGGGCAAATCTGGACTCTATTTATCTGGACTCGGTCCAGTTAAATACCATCATCCTCTGAGGCAGGACCTTTCTCACTGGCCTCCTGAAAAGTATGGTCATGTACCACATAAGGACATTTCAGTCAATGACAGAGCCCATGTATAGCAGTGGTTCCATAGGATTATAATGGACCTGAAAAATTCCTGTGGCCTGGTTGTTTTTTACTGCACCTTTTCAATATTTAGACACACAGATAGTTATCATTGTCTTACAGCTGCCCACAGTATCCAGCTTAGTCTCATGCTGCACTGTTTGCAGCTGGGGTGCTGGAAGCCCTGCTCGGTGACCCTCCTGGGTGTAGGATACTATGATGTTTGCACTGTGACAAAGTCACCTAACAATGCACTTCTCAGAATATGTCTCTGATGTTAAGCAGTGCAGTGACAGCTCCAGGGTGCCCACGAAGTGCTGGGCATACATAATGTACAGAGAGACTTCTAGGGCTCACACTCTAGTGAGGGAGTTGTCACATACCAATTCTGAATTAAACAGCTTGCACAAATTAAACAGCATACACTGACCCAAAATGTGCCGGTGATTAGTTCTGTGCCTGGCAGGTGCCACAGTGCTGTAGGAATGTGCAGTGAGAGGTGACATGCTGAGCCAGGGGTGGCCTTCCTGGATGGCAGCTGGTGAGCTATGTATGACCTGCACCATCAGCTGGAGGAGGGTACACCTGAGCAGGAGAGTAAACAGGCCCAGGAGGAGGAGCAAAGCAGGTCCTGCAGCTCTGGATTCTGTGCACAGGCCAAATCATTCCACAATGGAAACATCCTTTGACCTTGGCACCCTGGAGCTCTGTGGCGATACTACACTTTGGTGGGAATGGAAGCCAGATCATGATAAAATGAGGAGCTATGGTAAAGGGAGGAATGGAGACAGTGGCCAGAGACAAGTCACTCTGAATATTTGCATGTGAAAAAGCACCAGGATGATGGCTGGAGGGTGCTGTGTGGGCACCAGAGGACTGCTTTGTTTTATAGTCATATGTCACTGCGCAACAGGGACCCATTTTGAGAAATGTGCCATCAGGTGACTGAGGTGCCAACATCATTGATGGACTTAGAGGAACCAAAATGCTACCTTGTCACTAAGCAACATAATCTGGTGGACCACCATTGTATAAGCTGCCCGTCACTGGGCAAAACATGGTTATGCAGTGTGTGACTGTCTTTCCTTTTTTTATGTGAAAGATACATCTTTGCACATCGGAGGGGAGGATCCAGTTGAGAGAGATTGACCATTTTAATGAGCAGACAAAAGTGTTCAGACGGTTGGGGAGGCTCCAAGCACTGGTAGGCGTTGGCCTGATCTGGAGTGAGGGAGCTCTCTTAGCTGCAGTCAGAGGCCAGAAACATGGGGCAGAGGAGGGACCAGGGCTTCTTCGTTCTGGGACAGGAGCATGAGGTTCTGTATCTGTGAGGTCAGAGGCACCCAGAGGGAGACAGATGCTGAGGAGCTCAGAGGCTTGATGAGCACAAGGGTTTGATGTTCACATTCCAGAGGCGGGAGGATGGTTTGAGAAAAGAGTGGGTTTCCTGAGATACCAAGAGCCGAGCTAAAGTTGGTGGTAAAAGAATGACATTGATTTGCTTCTCATATGACGTCTCTACGGGCCTCTGCTGCAGAGAGGGCTCGGGCCACCTCTGAGGCCGCCACAGGACATACGCAGGTTACTCCCTAAGTGTGTAGAATCTACAAGCAAATCTTTAAAGAAGGTGCTCCTCTAAGTGTTAATAACACTAGTATTACTTTAATGAAAGTACATTTTCTTTTATTTATGGTATACTTGAAGCATAACAACTACCAATCTGATAGAAAATATGAGGTTGAAAACTTCCTGTTTCTGTCAACTGCCCAAGGGGCCACACTCATTCCGTATTTGTTTGTGACAAGTGATGCAACCCCCTCGGGTGAGATTTCTTCCCCTGCAGGATGGAATAACCTGACCAGTTAGGTTCTTGTCCCAAATGACTGAGGTCACATAGGTGAGCTGCCTGGTGCAGAGCCTGGCAGCAGCAGGCTTTCAAATCTGTTGACTTCCCTCTTTGCTCCTTCTGGCCTGTAACTCTCCTCAGATGCTTAGCTCTCCTCTGCTAGTGTTTTTGGGAAACTGCTGTCTTGAGGAGGAAGCAGGGGGCTCAGTACTTAGCAGGGCCAATTTTTCAAAGGAAGGCAACGCCCTGAGCATTGTGTGTGCTGCTCCACTCAGTAGGAAATGACAAACAGAGATTGAGGAACATTCAGCCATCAGACACACATTCTCTGCATAGGACACAGTGCCTAAATGTATGATCAGGAATGTCTAAAGCCAGGCACTGGGGCACCTGCCTGTAGACGCAGATACTTGGGAACACAGCCACAGGGATGGAGGATTGCTTGAGCCTAGGACTTCCACACCAGCCTGGGCAACATGGACCTCATCT